CATGTAGACAGACAGACCGACAGACAGACAGACAGACAGACAGACAAGACAGACAGACGGACAGACAGACAGACAGACAGACAAAGGGGAAGGGTGTATATCAACTATGACAATACACAGTACCTGCCACAATTCCCCATGGTCAGGTTAGGATTACGCACCAAAGACATGAAGAAGCAGACAACCCACCAACCATCCATACCTTGAGCCTTGAGGGTAAAAAAAAAAAGACCCACAAATTGGCCCCCTTACCCAAAGTCCTACCAAACAATCAATCAAACAGGACAGGGAAAGAAAGAGAGCTGGGTTCAATTGAGAAGTAGATAGGAAGCAAAGGGTAAAAAAAGGTTGGCATCTGACACTTGACACACAAAGTCCAAGAAATCATTTTAAACTTCAGTAAAAGGAGAGAAAACAAAGCAAAGAAACAAACATTGGAGTACATTGCACACATAACATGTTATAGTTAAATTAACCCTCCCCTCAATGACCCAGAATCAACATACAGTACAAAACTTACAAATGAAGTTTTCATCATCCGTGAGCTGATCCCCGATGCATTCAAATTTAAAGTCCATCAAATCCTTGGCGAAAGCTTTCTGAGCTTTGGAGAACTCTGAGGTAAAAAGACATAATAAAAGATTATACTATGCAAAATAAGCAACTTTTCCATAAATATAATGGATGCATTACCACAATAAAAACAATTTTCTATAATATAATACAAAATATTAAAAATATTACATTGACAGAGCAAACAAGACTAAAACAAAACCAATCCCACTAGACACAAAAAAACCCCCTGAAAGCAGACAGAGGAATGGGTTTGCAGTTTAAAGGCATGATTATAGTTTATGGATAACTATCAATCTAGGATGATAAGGGGGGTGGGGGATAAATCTTCATCAAAACAAATTATCCCCTTCTTTACTTCAAAATAAAATGCAAAACAAATCCACTGACAATCATCTTTACAATGCTGACTGAGTCTGACTCATTCACACACACACGCATCAATTAAAACTTTCAAATCAAAGGAATTATATAGCATGGATCTGTAGTATCTAGGCTACTTTGTAAGGGAACCGTTTCTGATACTTAAGCTAAAAGGCAAATTTACCATGAACACTTTGACTTTGCAAATTAATCATTCAAAATACAATCAAATTCTAAGCAAGTGGCTATTCTCCGGCGTGGCGTCGGTCAATAGATCAGAAGCTATTCTCCGGCATCACGCTGCCAGGTCTATTATTAATGAATTACAATGTATTTGACGGCGCAGATTTTGAGATACAATAACTAGGTCTAGTAAACCTATCTTTCATTATATTTTATCTATGATAATTGTCAAATGTAACTTAATTAATTTATTTGGGTTGTCCATTTGCGGGTCAATAAGCACTCCGAATTGATTTTGTGTCTAAAATCTTGTCTAGTCATATAGCTTGATGCTTATTTTAAAATAATTATTCTGTTTCTTTAAAAAACAAAATTGATTTGGCTGCTCTTATTGGCCCACATGGGCAAATAAGCTGGGGCTTAAAGGCCCACATGGGCCATTTATTAATGCGTTGTTTTTCTATTATTTCATACATGATGTTGTCCCAACTTGTTCTCTTTTATTTTTTCTCACTTTATCCCTTCTTGTTCATGTGTTCCTGAAGCATTCCAATTTGAAGATGAGAGGACTTTTCGTTTTTTCTCTAGCTTTAATAGTTTTTTTTATTATTAAGATTATTAAGAAATAATAAATACGGCTATTACTATTAGCATTCTGTATCCGTAATAACAATAACACAAGTGAGTTTTTGATACCTTTTGGGATCCTGTTGGTTCGGGAGTCATTCTATACTTCCTTAATATTATAGTAGAAATTGACTTACTTTCATTCTAACTGAAAATGTCATGTCACTGGTGTAAAATAATAAATAATATTGACTTTTATTAAGTCTTAGAGAAGTGTATAATTATAATATAAAACCGTAAAATAATTTCTCTGATTTTTAATTGGGATTTTGCTGTTGTGTTTTCATTTTTATCATTTGGGAATGGGGGGGGGGGGGGGGGAGACCAAACACAGGGAAGATAACTCGCAATTTTGTGGGTAAATAATAAATGTTCTAGGGGAAATTTTATATATGGCCCTGCGGGCCAATAAGCACTCTGAATTGATTTTGTGTCTAAAATCTTGTCTAGTCATATATATCAATAATATTATAGCTTGATGTTTAAGTTATTTCTTGTTGCTGTAAATTTAGATAAATTTAACTGATATTTCGCGACCTCAGTGCTTTCTTGTCGTATTTCCATTTTTGTAAACAGTGAAAATGTCACTTCTTCTTATGCTCACTCTTTGTTATGAACATGCATCCCTAGTGGTGAACACGTTTCATACATTCTTCTAGCACCTAACATAATTCTGAAATGGAAGAATTGAGGCAGTTTGTGTCTGAAAACCTACAGTCTGTATCAATGGAAGTGGCACGAAGTGGTGAAGCTACGGGAATTTTTTTCCAAGACAAACAAACAGGAGAGAGGTATTTGCAAATCTGCGCCGACAAATAATTCATTACTAATAGACCGGCGGTGTGACGCCGGAGAATAGCTTCCGATCCACTGACCGGCGCGATGCCGGAGAATAGCCACTTGCACTTTAAAAACCCATTATAAAAAGATTGAGACCCAAATATTGTGAGATCTTATGTCCCCATGTGTGTTTTTAAACAAATTATTATTATTGTTGCCATTATAATACACACGTAAACACAGTGGGTCCACCCAAGTTCAATCCAGCCAAAAACAATAAGGCCGGCTCTATTTCTCCGAACGTTCGGGAAAATAAACTTGAACTCTATTTCTCCGAACGGTTTCTGTTCTCGAGATTCGTTGATAATAAAAGCGAATGGAGTGGCCCGTATGTGTGTGTGTGTGTGTGTGTAAGGTGTGAACGGGCGTGCGGGGGGGGGGGGCATGGAGGTTTTTTTTTTCTTTACTTACATGAAGGATTTTATTTTTTGGTGGGTGACTAAATGCAAAATAAGTTACTGCCAAGGTCAATCAGTCTTGTTTTCTCGCAGTACCTTTTGATGGTACTTTCGGTTACCGTACTTTCAAATGAAGTATAGTCCGGGAATGTTGCCCCAACCACAACTGAAGTATATGAATATTCAGACATTTAAAAATCTCTAGTCTAGCTCTAGAAATTGAATTCAATGCAAAAAATGCTTCTTCTCAGTCCTCGCAGAATGGTAGAATGAAAGACGACGCCTAAATCTCGCAAATAACAAAAAAATATCGAAAACGAAAACCGTTCGGAGAAATAGAGTTCAAGTTTATTTTCCCGAACGTCTGGAGAAATAGTCACTTCGATACAATAAGGAAGTGGCTATTCTCACCCGGGGTGAGAATAAAAATACGATCTACCTCTCACCCCGGGTGAGACTTGCCAGCGTAGGCTATTCTCACCCGGTGTGAAACAAGACCTGTTTGTCCTCATTTTGGAATACTGTCTATCGGTGTGGATGATCAAATTGATCAAAGCCAAGAAAAAATGACGTTATAGCACAAAAGTAAGCTAATTTGATCGTCTTCAAAGATGCTAAGGCTATTTGAAACTATTTCACTTTTCGAATCGAGCCGAACTACGCGGGTCGCCATTTTGTTTTGCCCGGAAGTTCTCGCAAGATCTACTCCTCCCCTCTCTCTCTCTGTCTCTTTCTGAATACTGTTTGTCGGTGTGGACGATCAAATTGACCAAAACAAAGTTTTAAAAATGATGTTAAAACAGAAAACTAAATTAATTTGGTTGTCTACAAAGATGCTACGGCTATTTAACTTCCCGAATCGAGCCGAACTACGCGGGTCGCCATTTTGTTTTGCCTGGAAGTTCTCGTGCTACTCCTCTCTCTCTCTCTTTCCACTGCCCACAGACAAAATTGCACGCTTTTAGGTTAACACTAACAGTAGTAGGCTAATAGATCTAGATCTAGAACGTTTGTTCACAGCACAGAATTCTATAATTCTGTTATCACAGTGTAGAATTCTGTGGTTCAGGGTGAACGCTTCACTGGTGGGCCTAGGCTATAACGGTGAACGCCCACCCGGTGAGAATAGCCAAAAGACTCGCCTGCGCTATTCTCACCCGGGGTGAGAATAGAGGTGGCCACATACAATAGGCTAATCTGTCCAGAGGTACAATCTCATCTTACTTTGTCAATCTTTCTTTTGACTTTACTTTAGCTAGCACTTTAACTTTATGTTTAGTGATTAGCAAAGAAAAAAATTAAACCATAGTAGGCCTAAATCTATCTAGATCTCTAGATACACCGCAAGTTCTAGCAGCAGTAGCAGTAGAATCGAGATCTGCCAGTAGCAGGCCCAGACTGAACATAAGACAAGACAGCTTAGATTTAAAATAGACCAAGGCAGTTTTCTTATACCGATATTAATTCTAAATTAGATTCTAATCTAGGTTTCCAGTATTAAATTCACCTAGCAATATTATAAGATGGTAAGTTTAAAGAATTAGATCCAAGGGTACTCACGTTTCGCTGCATTGTACACATCCCTTCCGTGGTGAACCAACGTCTTGATAAATTTACTGGTTCGTTCCAACTCCCGTTCATGTTCAGCTAATTTTGTACGGAAGTAAGGACTGTCTGTCAGGCAATCCGCAAACTCTAAAGGTTTAAGTCCCATGATTTTTTTCTGTCTCGTACAAACAAATACTTATCCAGGAATATGCATTATAAACACACTGGAATCGTATCGTAAATCCGTAGCGGCTTTCGCTTCCTGACTTTCTGACAACAGAAAATTTCACACTCTCATGCGCATGCGTTAACGGAAGTAAAAGAAAATTGTGCTACTCTTTTTTTAATAGAGGTAAGGAATATAGATAGGTAAGCAAAATGTATTCTAAAAATAAAAGATCTTTCTTTCGCTCAGCCTTGTTTCGCCAACAAAAAAAATAATTAATAATGATGGTGATGAGAGTGGTGGGCACACGATAAACGACACACACACACACACACACATATACACACCCACCCAACCCCTCCCCCCATACACATGAACACATTTTCTTCCCTTTAACATACACACACAGACACACACACACACACATACATACACACACACACAGACACACACACTCTCTGTCTCTCTCTCTCTCTCACACACACACACACACACACACTAACACACACACGCACATACACAAATATACATGTGTGTGCACGCTTGAATAAGATAATTATAGCTTTATAATATAGCTTCAGCATGTAATAAGACGCGAACTTTATGAAATCTAGACCTATCTATATTTCGTGCACAAATTGCATCATATAGATACCTGATTAATTTTGAAGATTTTTACATCTATTTTCGGACCCCCCCCCCAAAAAAAAAAATATTAAAAAAAATAAATAAATAAATAATAAAAAAAAAAAAAAAAAATAAATAAATAAATAAATAAATAAATTTTTAAAAAATTATAAAAAAATAAATAAATAAAACAACCAGAAAACAAAACAAACTATGATGATTTTGCAAAATCTGTTGATACCAGTAGGCCTACATAAATATAAAAAGGAACTGCAACTATAGGATAGGTCAATCCACATAGGTTAAGTGTGGAACTTAAGACCGCTGCAAACACATGCCTAGTTAGATGTCGGCGGACCCAATTTAAGGCGACTAATATTTAGAGTTTATCCCAGCCCCCTTTTTCTTCTAACTATTTACTCCCAGTCCGACAAGCACACATAGTCCTCGACACAGCCCCATCCTCACGTTTTGGCGTTTAATTTTTACCACCCTCCCCTTCCCCCAACACACAGATGCTATGCACACAAACGCGTGTGTACATGCACACACACACACACACAAACACTCTCACAAGCACACACACACACACACACACACACACACACACACACACACACACACACACACACACACACACACACATCAAGTGCCTGTTGTATCACCAGTCTTAATATTTAATGAGACAAAGACAGAGGGTCAGAGATGTCCGTACACCACTCAAGTCTTCATGCTTTGACTTTGATTGTAAGCTATGTTTCAGCAGTTTAGGTCTGATGATGATGTTGATACACTAGTGGTGGAGGTGGTGGAGGTGGCGGTAGCGGTGGTAACGCCTCAGTTGTTATCATCATTAAACAAATCCTTTTTACTTTGATCAACACTTTACCAGTAGAAGAAAATACACAATTTACTTTATTAGATTTGATACCAACGGGTGTTTGTTGACGGCATCATATTATATATTTCTCTCTCTCTCTTCGTCCAGCTCGAAAATATGACTTGGCACCTCTCTGCGCCACTTTGGCTATAATGACTTAGATTTCAAATGGGCCGCTTCAACTTTTTTTTTTCTTTAGTTTTCGTGTGTATAAATTTGAACGCGCGCGTGCGTATGTGTATGATGTGTGTATGTGCGCGCGCGCGCCCGCGCGGGTGTGTGTGTGCGTGTGTGTGTCTGTGTGTGTGTGTGTGTGTGATCAAAGTTCAAAACCCAAATGACATGGGTAGCCTACTTTTTACGTCCTGGTCAGTTTATTAAAAATCGAAAAGCTCCGTCTGCGAGTCCCATTCAGCTCGGGCTGGCCCTGACAGTCAGGGTCAAAGGTCAAAGCAGCCCGCCTCCTGGGTGATCTAAGTTGTATGGTCACCATCATGGACAAGTTGTCAACTCAAGGACACTACCGTATCATATTGAGCATTTGGTATGAAGTGTATAACGGTTTACATCCCTTCTTTGTGTGTCTATTGAAGATTTTTCTTGGGTTTTTTTCCGAGTATATGCCCGAAACGCTCAGTTAACACTCGAGTTTCTTGAGCCGTGATTAAAAATCTAAAATTTAGTGCTTGTCAACATTTCTCAAAGCCACCGCCCATTTCCGCCTCCTCTAAGAGTTTTTTTTGTGTGCAGGCAACGTACATGTGTTTCAGTTTAGTTTAGTTTTAGTAATAGTTTTACGGCTCTTGCAACATAGTAAAGTGCCGAAGAATAGATTACGTGTTACAAGAGAGTAACATAAACAAACACAAAAAAGGAGGGGAGATAGGGACGACATATGTTTGATGGGGAAGAAGGAGCAAACCACACCAGAGCAACAGCCAACCACCCACCATGTGTTTCAAAGCGGGACATTATTTGAATGAAATGATCCATGGTGTTGCTTCCCGGGTGATCCCCACCGCTCACCACAATATTATTACAGTGATCCCAACTTATAACAGTCTCAGCTATACAGTCGACTCCTCTTGTGTTGATCTTCGTAAGTTGATCTTTTTTCTTGGGTCCCAGCACGACATCTTCTTCACAGATACCAACGGTTAGTTGAACTTCGGATGAATTTTTTTTTCACCCCGCCCCCCGACGACATCATCAACTCATCACCGTAGTCGACTGTAACCGGATTTCGGCTATAGCAGGCTTAAGAGTATGTGGTTTGCGGATGCTCTGGTTTAGTTAGCTCCTTATTTCATATTAAAATTAAACATCTATCGCTTATTTATTTCTCCACCTCCTTTTATTTGTATGTTACTCGGTAGTAATTTCTCTAATCTTCGTCATTTACACATGATATGTCGTCGCCTCAGCTATGTCCAAAGTATACTTAAGTAAGTACTTTGGACAAAATAGTTCTGAAGCGACGACGTAGGACATAAATATGTTGCAAGTGCCGTAAAACTCTTACTAAACTAAAAAGGTTCATTAAAAAATCCTCGAGCCGATCTTTTATAATGCATATATCTATATAGTTATTAAAAAGTTCGTTTTTAGTTTATGGCAGGTATTCGGAATAGGCATGCTCGGAGTATAACATAAATAACAGTATTATAATGAGTGGTCCAAACCATTGCTTGACGCATTGACAAAATCATTAAAAGTTTTTAAAAAATGGATACAGAAACATATAGAAAGCAAATAGTACAAAACATCCACGGTGTTTTGTGCCTATATGACCCACAAGAGGCCTACGTTGATTTTGATGTGTCATTCCATGTATGCAGGGGAGAGGGAAAGCTGGATGCATTTTGGTGTTCTGATTTTCGAATCAATGAGTCGAGTGTCTTAACGTGACCTAGTTCTGGCACCACATCATCTCCCCGCGCGGTGGGTGGCGAAACTTGTTAAAGGAACATGAGGAATGGAAAGTAATACGTGTAGTAGGCACTGGGCTGCAGTAGAACATATATCTAGATCTATATTAATATACGTCTGTTTTTTTTCTCAGTTGTGGTAATTGATTACGAATACAAAGTAGTTGTAGTTGTGAAGCGCATAGAGCATGCTGTAGAGCACGGAATGAGCTAAATAAATGCAATTATGTTCATCAGGCTACCTCCTGTGCATCTCAAATGATGTCTAGTCAACCTCCATGAGACTAAGGTTCTGGGAATTTAAAAAAAAGATGAGGATGAGGAGCTAATAATACATGTACATCTATTAGTCGAAAAGAAAAGAAAAATAACCAATACATTGGCAGCGGGTAACCTGTTATTCACAGAAATTGATATACAGAAAAGTGGGAAGACATGGAATAACATCAAGAGGCTAGTCCAAGACAGAGAAAGATTAAAAATGTTCGTGGCTTATACCCTAATGCAGGGTGAGAAAGGCAATGATAATGTACCTATGTTATTAAAGAGGTCCCTTTTGGTAATTATTAGTTACAGCGATCCCTGGCTATAATAACAGCGTTTGGCTAAAACAGGGAAATCACCTCTGTCTCATCGGCCTAGCTATTGCTGGGGCCCGCTGTAGTCAGAGAATTTGGTTCCAAGATGTCATCCCCCAGTATCTCGCCAAGCAGTTCGAGTGCATCTAACCCCCCTCCCCCAAAGGTGTTTTTTCTCCAAGTCCTTACCCCCAACTCTCTCTCCCTAACACTTGAAGTCTTGTCCTTCACTATTGATGAGTGCCAAAAGATGTTTCGGTGCACAGAGTACATCATTAGAGGTCATGTGTGAATGATCTTTGGTGACCAGTCGTTGACACATGCGTGGTGCTCCCATGAAGTCATGTAAGTGTAAGTGACGCAAACATGCAGTGGAAGTTCAATTTCCTTGTTCGGTCTTGAAAATGGGGGACGACTAAGCAGAGCTCTTGTGAACCTTTCTTAATGTGTCAACAAATTAAGTACATGTAACTCAGAATGACAAATATATTAATCACGATCATAATGTTTCTGCTTTCACTTTCACACTGCAAAAGCTGACTGTTTTTTAAATATTACTAATACTATCATCAAACTAACATTGAAGAATCTTGGTGGTACAGGAAGTGAAAGTAGATCTTGAATTTTTCCAGTTTGCGACTGACATGCTTTGATAAGACTGACACCTAAACCTTCGTCACACTCGCATGCATGCTCGAAACTCACACGCTGAATGTGAAAAGCCAAATGAACACTGCTAACATGACTAGCAAAAATTGAACTCATTGAACTTGTTAAGAAAAGTATACGAAGTTAGGAGGACAAATGTTATTTACCTGGATCAGTTAGAGACACTTCCTTAGATTCTCGGGTCGTTCCGGTGTAATGACCATTTAACTTAACTTCCTAGGGCATGGCAGTCACCTTGTTAAAGACCCAGCTCTGCCGCTTTGTATTCGACTGTGAACCATGGTACAGAATGTTAGAGAGAGAGAGAGAGAGAGAGAGAGAGAAAGAGAGAGAGAGAGAGAGAGAGAGAGAGAGAGAGAGAGAGAGAGAGAGAGAATGTTTTACGGAGCGGGTTGTCCCAGCCCGTGAGACATGTATTTACTTGGCCTAATGTCCTGTCTTGTTGTGCGTTTGGGTGAGTGCAACTTTAAGTCTAACTTTTGTAATGTCTACTGCCATTGTTAACAACCAAGACAAATTTCTCCCTGCGAGATGAATAAAGATTGTCATTGTCAATTATTTTTAGCATCTGTGTCTGAGCAAGTGAAAAAGACAAAGACAAAAGGAAGGAAGAGAGAAAAGAAACACATTAACAACGAAAAGAGAGAGAAACCAGCTCTTCAACGAGAGTACTCAACATTCAGCTATACATACACAAAACCAAAAAGCACACATGATTTGTGAAGTACTGCTTTATTTACAAATCCACTAAATAACCAACCCTTTCATCATACTTTCAATAATAATAGAAATGCCATCAATAGCTTTTTTTAATATTAATAAATTACTTTCAACTATTACACCTTAAGTTTTTCTAATTTTTTTGCTGCACCACCATCTTTTTCAACTTCTTCTTCTTCTTCATCTTCCTCCTCGTCCTCATCATCTTCATCGGAGTCCTCATCATCATCTTCATCATCATCATCTGAAGAGAAAAAATTAAAAGAGAAATTATTATTCCTAATCTTCTCAAGGTTAAGTCCACATGAAGCGATAACATAGAAACAAAGAAAGCAAAAAGCAATTTATTAACATATTATAATTGAACCTGCAAACTTTATTCTGTGCAACACAAACAGTAACTTGGCAAAACACTTTCTGGGAAAAAAAGACAGGGGCACTTCTTCTCCTTCCCCAGCTAGATCTCAGGGGTAATTATCTGTTGGTTTTCCAATCTGCAGTGCAACAAATTTTTACATACACACAAAGGAAAAAAAATATAAATACAATTTACATCAATTGGGAGACGGGCTACTTCGACTCCGCCTGTGAGGCCAAAAAGGACACAACATTCCAACAGATATAGATCTGTTAAAAAAAAAAAATCCAAATTAAATCTTTTGAGTGCAATGGCTAAGGAGTCTAACCGTTACGCCACAGACACTGATTTATTTCCAGTGATAATAATAACCACACACAGACACAAAGAAACAATGACAAATGAGCAAGCAAACAAAAACAAAAGAAAACAAAAACACTAACCATCCGCACGTCGTGCGACACCACCTCCCAACGTGAACCCCCCGAAGGTGAAAGTTCCACCCCCACTGGCTCCATAGTAGCCGTCATCATCATCATCATCATCGTCATAACCGGCTTCTGCCATCTGCTGACGGCCATATTTGTAACCACGAGCTGAAAAAGACACAATGTTGCTGGTTTTATAGAAAAAAACACAACCCCCTCCCCCACCTTCCTCAAACTTCCATCTCTTCGACCTTTCTGTAATAATTTCTCACCTTTTAAGTTTACTCTGTTCTCCAAAAATATAACACGCTGTAATTATTGTTTCATTACAAATGCTATATGGTCACTTTTAAGCACAAGGGTGCTATCCCGAAAAATGCTGTTTTGAGAAAATCGAAGGTAAAGTTTTTGCCCCTTGTTCAGTCTCTATAAAAGACAAGGAGAGTTTTCTCTATAACCAAACAAATATACGCACCAATGAAACCAAACTTCTCCTATAGTTAGGGCAGTGCCCACTTTTGGTGTTGGTCAGGATTTCTGGAAACCCTTGAAATCTGGGTTAGCCCGCTTGTCCTTAAAAGCGACCATATATGACCTAAACACAGTTGCTGTTATTAGCTGTAAAAATTCTATATCTTGTGAGACTAGTAATTTTTTCACTCCCGTAATAGCTAAATTCCAAGAAATATTAGAAGTCATGATTTTTGGTATCTCGTATAGAGATGACATCACCAGTGAGAAAGTGAGAACAAGAATCGGAAATGCCTTCGGGCCATGTTAAACGATGCACACTGAAGTGATATGAAAACATCACATAATCCTCTGGACTGACCAAGACTATCCTACAGCATGAGGAGGGAGATCATGAGGCAGAGAGGAAATGACAGGAAAACATACAAGAGTGGAATGGCCTTCACTAAAACATCATACTATGGAAAGCTGAGAACTCTGAGGAGTAGAAGAAACTGGTTGTAAAATTTACTGTGGTGACCTAACTGTCAGCCAGACCATAGGAGAGGTGAAGGGTGAGGTGAAAGGTGAAGGGCGAGAGAAACGTGGAGTAAAGCCTCCCCATATGAACCATTTGACCTAGTGAACGACATCACAGGTCACCATGGGTTTGCTGTTTATGCTTTACAGGGGAAGGAAGCAGCCAGCGCCGATCATCGTGATGCACGGAGACATGTGGAGTTATGCTTTAAATTTTTCCTGATTTTCTACTAGTACTAGTACGTAACAATTTCAGACCACGTGTCATAACATTTTACACATTACAAGGATAAGGAGTTTAAAAACACAAGCAGATAGCTGGGATCCTTACTGGACATGCTGAGTTCTTTGACTTCCTGCGTGTCCATGCCACACTTGGGACATGGGAAGGCCTGACCTTTGGTGTACTTGAACCCCTTGCGGCGGACATGGTCATCACAGTAGCATTGCTGGAAATGGATGAGGGCACCATGTATGATAATAGAAATTTCACGTCTCATGATAAAAGAAATTACACGGTGGTATATTATAAAAGAAATTGAACAGTGCGAGATGAAAGAAATGACATCGTGTGTGACGAAAGAAATTAGTAGTAAAAGGAATTATATTGTACATGATAGGAGAACAAGCATCATATGTGATAAGAGAATTAGAAATTAATAGTTTAAGATAAAGATATTACATCAAGTGTGAAAAAGAAAGTAGATGATTTGGGAAAAATACATTACATTGCATGTCATCGAAAAGAAATGACATAGTGTATGTGAAAAATATATTTTAAATGCAAGTGATAAAAAAAAAGAAAATAACATTGTAATAAAAGAAACTACACTGTTTGTGATAAAAGTACAGCCGAACCTGTCCAACACAACCATCCATAGTGCATGAGAAAAGTGGTCATCTTAAACTGCGTCATTATAATATGTAAAAAGGAGCAGGGGGGATGGGAAGTGGTCATTTACAAGTGACTGTCTTGGACTGGTGGTCGTTAGAGCAGGTTTGACAGTATAACATTTACACTGTACCAGTACCATGTTGTATGAAATGAACATTGAATCAAACTCCTTGATTCCTTGATTACTGCACTTAAGAAGACTGACCATAGAAGAACCATAAAGAGTACTGTTGAAATAGCTCTAAATTCTATTATACAATTACTGTAAAATAGCTTTCTTATTCTTCTTTTTAGCTTTTCCAGAGGTTGGATGCTTCTCAGACCTTTCTGCAATAAAACACTTGGTCTCTTGCCATTCTACCTGCCCGAGCCAGGTTTCTATGTCCTGTTCCCATCGCCTTGTAGGTCTCCTCTTTCCTCTCTTGCCTTCTACCTACAGTGGAAACCATATATAACAGGCCCTGTAATAACAGGGATCCGGTAATAACAGGGATTCTTTAAATCCCCGTTTTTTCCTACTCTTTATCTCTATTAAGAGTTATCGGCAATAACAGGGTCCCATCGGAGCCCAACCGGTTATAGCAGGGACAAAGGCTCGTTAACAATGTGTAAAAAGTAAGAGAGAGAGAGAGGCAGAGAGAGAGAGAGAGAGAGAGAGAGAGAGAGAGAGAGAGAGAGAGAGAGAGAGAGAGAGAGAGAGAGAGAGAGAGAGAGAGAGAGTAATGAAGCAAGCCCACGCAAGCCATGCCACTGCAAGTACACACAGCTTGTGAAGCGAGAGAGGGCTGCAGTGTGCTGCACAGACCTCGATCTAGCCCGAAACCTAGCAACACGCACGCGTAATGTGTCTCCAACGATGTCAAGTGCATGAGAAACTGCCTTTCAATTGACAAAAAATACGATATAATCCAGGCTGTTGACAAAAAGCAAGCTCCACTGGCAGAGATTTGTCGTTACTTCGACATTCCACAAGGGTCGATTCACACCGTTATCAAGGATAGAACGAAGATAGTGGCAACATACTCCAATGGAAAGTTTGCTCTGGATCGAATGAAGATGAGACTACCCGATGCAGATGCTGTGGACCAAGCTCTTCTGATGTGGTTTAAGGAGGCAAGGAGAAAGTTAATGCCAAAACCCCTGTTGGTGGGTACTTGTGGCAAGGGAAACAACCCATGAATAAGTACAGTTCCTTACATTTCTGATTTAACAGGGATCGAATATAACAGGACATTTTCTCTACTCTGTTATATCAGGTTTCCATTGTATATGTGCTTTGAGAATAGGTTTCTCCAATGAATCATGTCATTTGATAACATCACAATACAATTTTTTACGTCATCTGTTACAGAGGCTTTCCCTGACTGAGCTGCTCTGCGCTAAATACAGTCAACATGCAGATGTACAAAAGGCCTAGTTTATTTTTTGTTTTCTTAAAAGGAAAACAAGTGAGGATAATCTTTTAAAAAAATTCTAATGGAAGAATAAATTTAGCCTTACCTTGCACTTTAAGCAGGAATATTGCCCAAGTTTATTACATGAAAGACCTGTAAGAAATAATAAAAAATGTACATTATACCATATAATGCAATATACAGCATATAATGTCTTAATTTTTGTTAGCATACAAATTACACAACAGCATTCACTAATGTACATATTATACACATTCTTCTATTGTTTTCATTATTAAAACAACCACTCTGAACTGAAGCACAACTCCGGCAAGAGGAATAACGATACAATAAAACCCATTCAGTGCAGACAGACAGAGATAGTGGATAAAATAACTTCTCTTTGCGGGAATCAAATTCATGTCATCTGCCTGCAAGCGTCCGAAGCCTAACCTTTACACCACAGACACCTGCAGAGAGGCTGTGATGAGCAACAGCAATTAATTGTTAAGTTCCTTAATGACAGAAATGTTCACACAGCTGTCAAAAAACCGAGGGTCACTTACATTTATAGTTTTCTTGATCCAGCACCTGGCAACTTGCTTGATGTTCAAACTGATCATCCTCGCACAAGAAACTGTTACAGAAACTGCAGGTGAAAATCCTTCCACCTGTGGCAACAAAAGGGAGGGGAAGAAATGAACACTTTTCAACAGTAATTTTCTCATAATGTGACACAAGTCATATAATTTCTTCAAGAATCACATAAATTTTAACATAATAACCTTGACTTCTTCAGAAAACATTTTTTCCCCCCATTACCTGTCTTACAGCATTAAAGCAATGCATCAATAAAGAATCAATACGTCACACATCTCTTGACTGAGTTGCATCAGTGGTCTAGTGGTAACACTATTGGGTTCGTAACTGAAAGGTCACGCGTACAGATTCTGTCAGGGGCTTGACATTGCGTCCTTGGTAAAGGCATTTTACATGAATTTTCCTCACTTCATGTACGTGAAAATGGGTATATTATATGACCACAGACGGCGAAAGATTTTGTCAGTTTGTTAGTGTTTGAGCACTTAATCGGCTGCTTGCACTGTATGCTTCCAAACACTGATGCCACATATACTACAGGTGAGGGGAAGCAGTATGAAGCAAACAATGGAAAAATCATACCCTTTGCACTTCAACATCAAAGATAAGTGTAAGAACCCACCGTGTTCCCACACTCCTCTCTTGCACTCATAGCATATGGCATCTGCCAGGGGACACGTGCACGGGTGGGTCTGCAAGCACCTTTTGCTGTGACAAATCCAGGCCTCGCAGAAGTCACATATGGCACCCTGAAAAGAAATTCAAAGTCTGTTTTAAACCACATCATTATCATTAGCAAAGCCTTTAATTTGATCACATAAAAAACAACGACAATAAACAGTCTAACCTATCAAATCTGAAACATGTCCGTAGAGGAACCTCTCAGCTCCCCTCCCATTAAATTTCTACATACTTGATTATCTTGAACATCATGGCAGTTACGTTCCAGTTTTAGTAGAAGTTTTACAGCGCTCGCAACTGCATAAGGTCAAATGAGTGCCAGAAGATTAGAGCTGTTACAAGAGAGTAACAAACATAAAAAGGACGAAGGGGAAATAAGGACGAAGGGGAAATAAGGACGATAGATGTTTGATAGGAAAGAAGAAGCAAACCACACCAGAGCACCCATCAACCACCCACAGTTACGTTCCAGAACTTCATGCAACAGGAGAACCTCCTCAAAGGAAACGATATAGTTATATACCTCTGAAAACCCTCCCCGCACACTTGTAAACCCCTCCCATGCTCTTAGAATTCTACATTTGTAGTGTAAGAGACCAACAGTATCCAAAAATAAAACATTTGTATCTATATAGTTGTTAATATCCTGACCTAAATTAAACAGCATGCTCTGATTGGCAGTGTCTCACAGAACAAAAAGTCTTTAGCATAGGTAAAGGTTTAGTTCTAGAGCACTTGCAACACAAATAGATCATGTAAGTGCTGAAAATGAGAAGTGCTACTAGAGAGTAACATATACAGATAAGAAGAAGGAGAGCTAAGGATGATACATCTTTGCTAGAAAAGAAGGAGCAAACCACACTAAACATCAACATAAAACTTTTGGGCAAAACTGTCAAGCTGTATAACACAACAACAACTGGCACTCACCACCATGCCGAGCCCTGTGGCGTACTGGGTAGCATGGCGTACGGCGCAATCACCGCCCTTGGACATGCACTTTATTTTTCCTGCAGAGTGAAAACAAAGTTTAAGTTAAAGCTTCCAAATACATGTAGTTGATGTTAAAAAACTTTGATGAACGCAACTTGTTCCTCCTGTTCTCAGTGTACCGCTATTTCAGTTGTATATGTTCTAAATACTACAGTGGAGTCCCCTTTCACCAAAATCTGCAGGATTTTCATCAAGCCATATTTTTGGTTTAGAGAGATTAAACAGTGAAGCAAAATTTTTGGGAATTTTATTTTCTTTCAGTCTGCTGCTGTTTTCGAATTGTCTGTGTTCATTTCAAGTGGACTCCACTCTACTTCATAAAACTACAGCATGTGTTGAAACAAACATATGGAGATTTTGCATCACAGAAGCTAGTCAAAGCACACTGATATTTTCTTCCCATAGGAGGTCAATATAGTATCTAATCTATCTTAAAATGAACATGACTGTGCATGATATTAGTTGCAATTACAGAAAAAGTAACTGTACAGAGTCAGTGGTCTGTGCAACGATCCTTTCCCACATTTAAACCAAATAAACTGGAATATTTCTCACAACCGGTAATGGTTTTTATCACAATCCGAAATACACTTTTGATTGGAATACCCCCCCCCCCCCTACCAATAAGGACATGGACATGATGCCAAAATCCAAAACAATTTAACAGGAACTTACCACATTGTGCACATAATGGCAACCGCTGCAGTGAATTGCAGAAGTAACAAAAAGCCCGGTTTTTCTGAGATCTGAAAAGAAAAAATAACCACTAGAATCTTTCTTAAAAAAGCAAACAATTTCCTCTTATACTTGACCCATGACAGTTGCTTTTCATGTGTAGTAGTATTAACCAGAAGATGATATTAATTGATAAAAAGTGACATACATTTAATCCAAGAAAACACTAAATCTTCCACAAATATTTTATGAGATGCTGAAAAAATTTGTACGGGAGGAAAACTTAGACAATTCTCCACCAGTTCTTGATCACACTCAATTTAGATAATTTAAAAACCAAAAAGAGTTAACCAGAAACCTACAATCCATCATCATTGCCTTTCTAAACCCTGGACCACGGTACTGGCCACTGACAAGTACTCTTCCATACCATGGGCTTCCTTTCCAACATTATTCAATGTCTTTCCACTTCCTGTACATCGTTCTCTGTCTCCATTTTCCATGTGACCTACCCCTTGATCTCTTGCCCTTTGAATTCCAATCTAACACTTTCTTAGTTATCCAGATGCTTCCTGAGGGTATGTTCCAATACATTACCGAAGCCTTCTTTTCACTTATGTCCTACTGAACTCTGTCTTATTCGGAATATTCCCCTTAATACATTTCATTTGGGACCCTGTCTGTCCATCTGATCCCTAACGATCCTCTTTTTGCAAGTCAGTGAGCAGGCCAGGATGTACATTCCTGCATCCTGTCTTTTCAAACATGACGCTCTTGATGAGGTTTATCAACTTCTACCAGATTCCGTGACGTCCCAGTATCTTCTACAATGTTGCACAGTATATGCTGCCAAAGGCTTCCTCATATTTTCATAGTCAGGGGACTTGACAATCAACTGAGAGTTCCACTCTGAGGAATTATATTCTAGTATGATACTCAGCATGGCAATCTGGCCAATGGTTAACCAATTTTTCTGAAAACCGAACTGTTCAACATAAGTTATGGATCTGTTACATTCTTGATTCTCTCCAGCATGATGACGTTGAAACACCTTTCCTGGTATCGAGGGAAGGATAATTCCTCTATGTTTGAATAGCTTAGTGCACTCTTGTCTACATCATTTAATTATTAATACACATACCTTCTGCACTGGTCACATTCCTGTAAAAAATACAGAAATAAATAAAATTATGAACACATTAGAACATAGATTGAATTATGTCAGATATTCCTTTGAGATAAAATTAATTTACTACAACAGTGGTTACATTGGCAGAGCTCAACATTTAAAAGAAAGTTAGTAATTATAGGTAATTTTAAATTACTGTACTATAACCCCCCCCCCCCCCCCTCCCCCTCCAGAAAGGGTCATTTTCAAACCTGACTGAATGACAATCAATTCACAAAAAACATCATATTGTAGCTTGGAAAATACTGGGTGGCATGATCCCCTGAACCCCCCAGTCTTCAAAACTCATGTCTTTGACTTGGTTGTTCTGAAATGTGACAGTCTACTGTGAAATTAGTGTTGAAACAGCATAACATGTATATGTGCAACACCTATTGGCATTTTCAATTCTGAATAAACAACAATCTAAAAAATTAATCATTTCAGTAATGGTTTGCAGCTGTTGAAAAGATGAATTTTTTTTGTAAAACATAAAAAAAATAAAAAATGGGTGGTTGGCGGGTGCTCTAGAGTGGTTTGCTCCTTCTTTCCTATTAAACATATTTCCTCCTTATCTATCATCCTTTTTTGTGTTTGTTACTCTCTTGTAACACTTCTAATCTTTGGCACTTATAAATATGACCTAATTGTGTTGCAAGTGCCGTAAAACTCTTACTAAAACTACAAAAATATTGAGCTGCAATGGATTTCCTGAGAATTAAATGAGAGTGATAAAAAATATGAAATACATAATTAAACTTAATTAAGTTATTTTAAAAAGCATCTTATAGACATCATTATGAGTGATCAGCTGCTCAGATGATGGCCACCAGTCTAATTCTAATATGGCCACTTTTTTCCTCGACAATACGTGGCCGTCTCACACAGGTTTGACTGTTCTTCTGAGGTCCCAACTGGAGGTGGTCACAGGCTTAGGGCTGCCGCAGGGCTCATTAAAATGTTTTTTTTTTGCTTGTTTTTTTTTCTCTTTTGAAAGAGGACAGAGGATAGGACGGTTTTGTGGGACTTTTTGAGGTTTGTTGGTAGTTGAAAAAAAAAAGGGTTCCTTGAAAGGTCAAAACAAAAGGAAATGTGTCAGATGAGGAAGGCCAAGTGTCATAGTAAAACAAATAAATGGGTTGCCACCTAGGCCTTCTCAGGGGAGGCCGTATATCCAGGACGATTGGCCTCGGCATTGGAGGCCTACCGCGTTCCAGGAGTGTAAATGCGAAAAGCGGCGATAGACTAATGCGCTGGTGCGGGTGATGGAGCATTCTCGCGCTGTACTCACTAGACTGGCCTACATGGAACCTTACTTAAATTCAATGTATTTTTGTTGTTGCTGCTTTGTTGTGAGAGTTTATCGGCTCTTATAACAAAGGAAGATCACATCAGTGACAGAGTGTATCAATTCGTCAACATGAAAATGAATTACGTTCGCACTTTACAATGAAATACAGACCGTGGCACACAAGTGGGATAACTTTGGTTCTTCACTTGCAACGGATAGCCTACAAGAGACACCGTTCTCATTCTACATGTTTAAACAAACATAAAAGAAAATTAATTTCACACACACACACACACTGATCTTCAAATGGTGTGCACATAACTGAAACCAATCAGCTGTTGATAAAAAAAGACGTCTCTTACCTCTGAAAAAGTTACTGTTTGCATGATCAGGATGACAGCTTTGCTTTTTTTTTTCTTCCCCTGTCCTAATATTTGCCAACTGCATGAGCTTAGGATAACAATATCAAGATGGAATGTCGATGGAAAGTCCCTCAAAATCGCCACCAATCAATTTCTGCAGTTTTTCTGTGGTTTCCAACAACAAAAAAACCCTACCCAGCAAGTGGTAGATCTAGAGTAGTGCAGGCCAACAATGCCTCTCTGGAAGGTTACACACGAAGTGCAAAATTTCTTCTAGGCTTACTGACTCTAGCATGTGACAACATCGCAAGTGAAGCCTGGATGCCTGATGTGCCTTAGTTTGTGAAGCTTCAAATGAAACCTCTTTCACGTGGTCATGGCATGGGTGTGGTGAACAACAAGTAAAATACATCGAAAATGCAAAAACAGGGCCATCTCGAGTTCTGCTGAGCGAGACACGTGTATATTGAATTATAATCTCTCTTTGCAACATTGCCAATGGCTGTCAGCTTCATTATATTCATATCCATTGTTTGATAAAACTGAATCGAACTTGAAGGCATCTCTCTTTCTTTAAATACATTCATTTCATCAATACCAGTAGCTCTAGAAGAAGCTGAACTTGTTGTAGTTGCTCTTTTTTCTTTTTTTTTTTTTTGGAGCTGGTGTGCCACAACAAGATGGTGGTACTTCTGGAAATATTGATGGAGACTCTGTGGGCACTATAAATCTTCCAGCCCGTGTCAAAGGTACATCAGGTGGAAAGTGCAGAGAGCAAACTTTCATGTACTATACATTGTAATCCGTGACATCTTCTACCATGATTAATTTATTTGGAACACTTTTGATCCACTGTGCTTTTTTCTGAATCTTTTGGAAATCTATATTATTATTTTGCTATCTCCCTTTTGGCTGGCATAACCACTTCTACAGCCCTATCCCCTACACTTTCTTCCCATGTTCAAATTTGAAATGTTGCTCACACGGTTCTTTGCGCTGAAACGGAGACGTCAGCTGAAATTTTTTTCACAGTAGCATTAGACTAGTAACAATAACACTCAAGATGAAAGAAAACTAGACTCTGGGCTGAACACTAAAACACACAACATAAGCACAAATTTAATCCTTAGAATTGAGTGTAGTGAAAATACATCCAATCAAATGAAAAAAAAACGTGTACATCCCAAGCACTGAACGAAACAATGAAGAGGCTAGGAGATTAGACAGACTAAACGGCTACACACTACAGACTACACACATTACTATTACACTATCGGCACGCAAAAGCGTAATGCAAAAATGTTCCACCACCTGTATACGTTTTAGTATTAGAGCATCTACTTATCGCCGCTTTTCGCTTTTAATTGGCGCTTTTCACATTTATCCTCGATAAGATAAGAACCGGTCTCGAGGCGAGCTTATCAAGATAAGGTTGCCCACCCCGGCCTCCATGCCGGAGCCAATCGTCCTGGATATACGGCCTCCCCTGAGATTGCCTAGGTTGCCACCAATCGGTGAACGAACAATACTTCTGTCTCAAGTTTGTGTAGACTTCCATAGCTATGGACTGGGTTTACGGACTGAGTTGTGAATGGGGCTTGTAGGTTATAACGGATCACACGATACCCTCACCAAAGCTGAAAATTTATTGTTACACCCATTGGTCAACTTGGATACATGAGCAACCTAAGCAACATGATCATTTCATCTAATGGAGGGACTGACAATAATGACAGATGAATTAATTATGACAGCTTGTACACAGCGTCAGGGGAAAATACATAATTTTTGCCAAAGCCTGGCCATCAAAGGCAGGTAAATTTTGCAGTGGGTTGATAAAATAGGGTGTCTGCGGCCGCCTTGGTGTTTCACAAAGTTAAATTAGATTCTATATATATATATAGATCCAGAAAAAACCCCGCAAGGGATGAAATGGAAAGTAGCCGCTTGTACAGGTGGCCGTTTCACACAGGTGGCTGTCATGACATGTTATGTTCGACTGTACTTTAAATGTAAAAATTATTTAATTTTTGACTTCTTATTGTCCAGACAAATGTATCATGCTAATTTGCTAGATACCAATGTTTCGCTATTCTCAACCCCTCGTTTTAAAATCGTTGTGCGGCTGGCGGCGTGGTCCCACGTAGTAACGTCGGTAGTGAGACACAGATAGTCTATTTTTTTTTTACCGGAGAGGCGAAAAATGTTTTTACATTAATGTTATTTTATTTGTTGTTTATTAAAGATTCAATTTAACAAAGATCTGGTTAAGAAGAAATTGATTATATTCTGTTTCAAAAGTCTGCATGGGGGGCTCTCATGGTCTAGAGGATAAGGTGTTGGCCTCTCGTTCGTTCAAAGGTCCCGAGTTTGAATCAGGGTAGTGACCGAAAAATTTCCTTGTTCTCTAAACTTGTCTGCTTTCACCTCCTTTCTTGCTTTCTAGCAATGTTCTGTCGCCTCCTTTCGTCTCTTCTTCTGCCCCCACCCCCTTTGCCCCTCCTCTGGGATCCTGATTCTATCTATGCAGCCTTTCTACTGCTACTCTTTGGCTTCTTCTTACTGCTGTCTTTCAGCCATACCCCTGATCTTCTGGTAGGAAAGATCTACACCTAGCCTTCTCAGACAAGGGCGAAAAATCTCGGAGAGCCTGTGTGCAAGTTGCGCATGTTGAAGATCCCTTGGTGGTCTAAAATCGATAAGAGTAGGCTTCCGCCGCCACCCGCGCAAAATTCTAAATTTCCTACCAACTGAAAAAGTTTAATGACCTTGTGCAGTTACGAGCGCCGTAAAACACTTATAAAAATTAAAAAACAAAAGTCTGCATTGTAATTTTCTATTCCCATATCCTGACTTGAATTCTGTAAGAGCACTCCTTCATCCCATGGGATGACATCCCGTTAAACGTAGAAAAGACGCATCTTCTTTCTGATTGGCTGCTAATTTTAGTAATGTGATGTCATCACGTCCTGGGATACTCACATGGAACGACGTGTTTTCAGTAACATTTCGGATTTCCTAGATCTTAATCTAGATTCTAGATAAGATCTAGATCTAGATTCTTGATCTAGTAGGCCTACTTGGACATGATGGAAGACCCCACGAAAATTGCCGTAAAGACGCAGGAGGACTAGATCTAGATATCTAAATTTAGATCTACCACCCCCCCCCCCCTTTCCCCTCTTTCCGCCCACTTTCAATCAGAAATTATATCTCTACGTCTGTTCATGATAAATGGGTATGCTTTTGTCAAAAGCGAGACAAATAAACAATCTTCAAGATAATTGCAATGACTCCATAATATGCCCAAAATTTGACGAACGCCTATTTTCACATTGTC